TCCCAGCTCCCTGGTCTACCATCCATTTAACATTTCTTTTTCCTCCTATCACACCAAGGCCATGCTTTCCAGGTAGCTAGAACTCTTAGCCTTAATTTTTAGGTGATTAGCACTAGTTAAACAATTTTAAACAACAAAGATACATATTTAAGTAAACACATTATCTAGAACCTAGGTTAAACTTAGGCATATCCTGGGTCTCCCGAACACTGAGTTGGCAAGGTAACTGGAGCCCTTTAAGATCAGTATGAAACCAGTTTCTACCTGAAATAATTGTACTTTAGAAATTGGATTACTGCTATCAGTTCCTTTTAAAGACTTTGACATAACCTTTAATTGTTCTTAGTTTAAGGAAAGCAGGGTTTTCTAGATTTAAGAGATTGGCTTAAAAATAAATCTTATTAGCTGTTTATACCTTTTATAATCATTTTAAAGAATATCAATTAAATTTAAACCGGTCCTTGAATCAAAAATCTTCAGTTGAGGTCACAAAATCAATCCTCTCTTCTCAATCAGACCAATATCACAATTACATAATTTTTCCCAATTCAATCCGAACCTTAAACTTTTAGCTGGCAAGTCAAATTACTTTTTACATTCAAGTGGCTCTGGAAAACCACATTTGAGCCTTGCAAAACAGGTTTTTGGCCTATCTGGTCTTTTCAGATGTAAATTGACCACATTCTTTAAGATTTTGCTGCAGGCAGGAGGCGACTATTTCCTTCCTCCATTAAGAAAAGCTTTCTTAATTAACAAAGGACCAGTTTTTCCCCCCCCTTTGGAAAAACTGTTCTTTATTGTGGAAATGCCAATCCTGCTGCTAGAATTTAGCTAGCATCTTTTTTTTTTTCTGCACATTTGAAAGGAGATTTCAGCTCAAAACTATATCCAAAATCGGATGGTGCGCACATTAGTTTTAAGCCAGCTTTTCTCCCTACACGTGCACAGAAATCCCAGATGCATTTAGTTGGGGAAGGGGTGACCTGTTTTCACAGACCCTCAGATGGCCGCTGGACCGCCAGACAAAGGAGGGGGGAGGGCAGTGCCCCTCCCTCCACACTCGCACACTTTCACCAGACATTCATTCAGAGTTTAAACAATAACAACTTCCAAACTCCTAAGGGAGCTCTAAAGCCTCCCCCAATCTCCTTGAAACGATCAATCACAATACCCAAAGGTGCAGTCTGAATCCATCCCATAACATCCATCCAGTACAAACACAGAACACTAAACAGGGCCCTAAAATACAGCCTTCCAACTCCATGGAAGCAACTAGACGTTGGCCTTACGCCAAACTGGCGGGAGCGACCCGCCTCGTCTAAAATCCGTGAGGGGCATATCCATCCCTCCTGGGGTGAGGGGCATACTCTTCCCTCCTGGGGAGCAGAACGTCTTCCAACTCTCCCCCGCCTGTGATCTTTCACGGCGCATCCACCTAGACCCCTCAGGTACTTACAGATTCCAGAAAGGAGCTCACACAGAACAGAACACACAACGACACACACCTACCGCGGTCAGTCAGACTCTTCAGATCGGGGGTCCCTCGATGGCCTTGGGAACCCCGGGCGAGCCCCCAAAATGATGTGCCCAGATTTCAAGGTTCCCAAAAAGCCCACCAGGGAGCCAGCAAGTCCGATGCAAAAGCAAAGAGTCCTTCATTTCGAACTAGTTCGGCTCCCCGACCACACTCACCGATGCAACGGTGAGCCCAGTGGCAGAAAGAGACCAAAGCCTGATGGGACAGGGGTTTTATAGGAGGGTGGAGTAAGGGCAGGAGAGGGGACTGTGGGCCCTGCCGATTGGCCAGGCGCGAGTTGGTGTCTCATTACACAGGATGTAGTCATATTGATGGCGTGCACTTCCCTTGATTATCATTAGTTAGTCCAGAGAAATCCTGGGCATGGCCAGCAGAGGCCTGGGCCTCCGGGGAGAAGCCCCTGCCAAGCACATGGCTCTGCCCAAAAATGGAGGACCCAGGGCAAGATGGAGGGCGCAGTCCTCGCCCCTCCCAGGGCGAGCTGAGCCCGGGCTCCAGGGGCCAGTCCGGTTGCCGGGGGTCCAGCAGATTGACCAGTTCCAGCCCAGACAGGAAGTCCACGTCCTCTGTCTCGTCCCCGGGAGCGCCGGCGATCGCCTCCTCCTCCATCTCCTTGGGTGAGGGCAGGCGCCCCGCCCTGCCACCGCCGCCGCGCGGGTCTGGTCCGGGGGCGGCGGGCGGGTGGCGACCTGTGCCGGGCTCCTGCCGTGGGCTGGGGAATCGGTGCCCGAGGCCGCCAGCAGCGTGGTCAGGCTGTGCCTCATGGGGCCCGGTGGCTGGCCCACGTACGCCCCATGACGACTCGCCCTTTCATGGGGGTCCTGTTGATTCAGGGAGAAGCCAGTATCTGTATCTGGCACGCTGACCTGTTAGAAATACCAGGGGGAGTCCATTATCTCCTCACACGTCTGCATGTATCTGATCCTGGGCTCTCTCTGACCTAACATTTATTAATGGATTTGTTTATTTTGAAATAATGTATATGAAAGAACCTAATGAAAGCCTTAGAACATACTTGAAGTTTAACAAATGTTTGTTGGATTTTAATTTTGCTTATTAATTGAACCCACATACAAACTGTTCTTTGAAAAGTAGTTCAGAAGCCCTTGGTTGGCATCTTCTGTGTGGCCCAGTGAACAGCTAGCTGTTCCTCTCTTGCTGTTTACACTAGTTTCCAGATACCTTATCATAGTTCAGGAAATCTATCTAAAGGAAGATAACAGTTTTTTCCCACGAACCTTGAAAATTAGTAACATCCTATGCTGGCTAGGATGTGGGAAATAGGCACTCATAACTTTCAATAGGAGTATGAAGTATTTAAATCCTTTGGGGAAGATTTATGTTCTAAAAAAATAAAAGCCCAAGTCTTTGTAGTGGCATATAGTGAAACCAACTCAGATTCACCAGTAGGGAGATAATTAAAGAAATTATGGTATTCCTACACTGTGAAAAAATGATGTATGTAAAAGAAAAGTAGATAAATCTATGTGTAGACCAGAAAAGTGCCATGATATTTTAAAATTAAATAAATTATAAAATAATAGACAAATATGCTCTTTGTTAGCAACAAACAAAAACTGAAAACTCAACCACAAAAAATAAACCTATATGTATGTATATTTGTTTATATAAGAAGACAAATAAAAGTGTGGAAGGATATTATTATCCTAAGTAACCCTAAGGAGGTGGGACAATTAGATGTTTGCCAGAAGAGCAAGGCAATCATTTTACCTTTTGCTCCTCTGTTGTTTGAAGATGTGATCCAAATTAGTGGTAACAGGGAAATAAAAGGCAAAGGCAACTGCAGGATGTAATATGAAAATGGAGTGGATGGAATTTGGCAACTATTTGAATGTGGTGGAAAGGGAAATGAAGAAATCAAGGCTAGCTCATCAATTTCTAGCCTGAGTAACTGCAGGAAAATTCTGTCATTCATAGAAACAGAGATATCATGAGAAGGCGTGAATTCTTTTTTATTGTTACCGGAGGAGAAATGATGAGTTTGAGTTATCAGAGTTGTACTGTTTCTAATTTTAAATGATAATTGTTTCTATAGGAAAGCTTCTTTATCTTGGTCTTAAAACCTCAAACAAAATGATGCTTTATAGTTGTATTTCATATAAATTTTGGGACTGAAAGAATCAGTCTGGTGTCTAATATTTTACCTTATCCATGCATACTATTCCAAAACAAAAGAACATTTATTTTTTAATTGGAAAAAAATTATAATTTAAAATCATCTCAACATGTGAAAAAGTAATTTTTCCTGCTGTATCAGATTGACAGAAAGTATAAACTGTGACCTGTACAATTTTTACTATATATTTCTTTTGTGTTATTTTGTGTTAATACTAGAGGCCTAGTGCATGAATTTGTGCACCAGTGGGGTCCTTCAGCCTGGCCTGCGGGATTGGGCTGAAACTGGCTCTCCAACATCTCCTGAGGGGTCCCAGATTGCGAGAGAGCACAGGCGAGGCCGAGAGACACCACCAGTGCACGATTGGGTCCAGGGAGGAATGGAGGAGGTTGGCCAGCCAGAGAGGGACCACAAGAGGGCTTCCGGGTGCGTCCGGCCTGTCTCACTCAGTCCTGATTGGCCCAACCCCAGCAGCAAGCTAACCTACCAGTCAGCGCATCTGCCACCTGGTGGTCAGTGCACATCATAGCAAGCAGTTGAGAACGCTTTGATTGGTTGATCGGCTGAGCGGATGACCAAACACTTAGCATATTAGTCTTTTATTATTAAAGATATTTATGCCTCTTCAAGTGTATTTGTAACTCAATGAATATTAAATAGAGTATTTTGTTGATATTCTATAGAAGTAGCCTTGAAAAGATTTTTAGTTCTAGCAATAGCTTGTGCACTTTTATTCCATAGAAAACAGCACTAGATATTGTCTCTATATTTATATTATTTGCTTGCAAATACAATCAAATGCTACGTGAATTTATTTATATATAATTATATCATATTTCATGTTGGAGCCAAAATAAAAGTATGTAATTTACCAGATTGAGCCCTTTTGCATAGATAAAGGAGTCAACAAAGTCACCTGAATGAATCATTTTAATTTTCAGCTCAGTTATGTGGAAATTAACTGCTCTTGCATACCTTTATTCTCTATTCATCATTGATTGTATTTTTACTTCAGAAACTATTCCTATGTTAGTTCTGCTTAGTTGAATTATGTGGGGCTTTCCCTGGGAAATGTTTTTCATATTGCATTTGTTATTTTTAATTTGAATTAATACAGGGATTCCTATAACTGCCATTTTTTATTGAGTCTGAATAATTTCATGAATTTTAAAACCTTCAGAGAACTGGGTGATTATGATGCTGTGTGAATTCACAAATTATATTGACTAATTCTTATAGTTTGAGTTAAACTCTATATGGCCCCCCTTTGGAGGAAAGAGAAGAAAGATAATTATTTTAATATTTTGTATACTTCTTGTTTTCCAGAAAATAAATACTTCTGGAACCAGTAATGCAGATGTCCCTCTGGCTGATCCCGGAATGTACCAATTGGATATTACATTAAGAAAGGGTCAAAGTTTAGCTGCCCGAGATCGAGGAGGTAAGGTCATAAGAAGAACATCACTTGGAAGTTTATTCTGTATGTTTTTGACAAAATTCTTTTTAATGGTTGCTTAAGTTCAAATAAATTAACTATAATATTATAATTTTTAGAAGGTTGGGTCCAGTGATGTGGTTTGAAATGTTATCTGACTCCTATGATCACAGGAAGAGGTTATGATGCAAGTTTGCAACTCTGAACTGGACCCAATCCAGACAGCAAAATCCCTAAAAAACTGCTGAGAAATTAGACTCTGAGTTATATGTAATTAGTGACACAGTTTGTGAAATAGGTGAGACAAATATTTGAAGCCATACAGAAGTCACTTTTGGCAGGCCTGACATTCTTTTTGCTGCATTGATTTGCTCAGTTGAATCGGCTAAACTTGCAGAAACCAGAACTAGCATCTCACCAAAACTTTGGTGATTCCCAGCAAGCAATTTTCTGAGACTTAATTGGATCTGACAGTAGTCTCATGGTGGCTTAAACAGATCTTTGTAGGCTATAATGAAGGAAAAGACAAGGCATTTGGAATCCTTAGTTCCTGAATTCCAAATCCCAAGGCAATCTGATGAACTAGCCTGGGCTCCTTGAACCCAAAATTAGAGGCAGGACCAGAGATAGACCCTAAACAGGCAGTATAGCACCCTTTGCACATTTCCAAATATCAGCTATTTAGAATGTGGAGAACTGAGGGCCCCAAGGGCCCAGAATCCCAGAGGAAACTGAATCTGGTCTAACTCCTCGCACTGGGAAGGCGGAGAGTCCCTAAGCCTCCAACTCATTGTCAGAGCACCTGGAGAGCACTCCTGGCATTACATGATCTTCTTTTTCTCGTCCATCCCTATTGACATCCAGACCTAGAGAGTGGAAAGAACCAAATTAGGACTATAGTTTGTACTTTTATCTCCTGCCTCTGTAAGAATAAAATAAAAAAAAATAATATAATAATGTTTTTACACTAGAAACTATACAAATAATGAATTTAGCTTTTAAGGAAAAACCGGTAAATATCAGACATTCTTAACGAATGGAGGTATGATTAGAATTGTTAAAATTTAAACACATGGGGGAAATTTTGAAAATTAACCATTTGACTTAATAACTGAGGACAAATATTTATTGACTTTTTAACTTCTTGTCTCAAAATAAGCTATAATTATATAGAGAAAGAAAATAATGCTATTAACATGGTTTTATTCTGCTATATTTATATATTTTTTTAGTTTTAAGAGTTTTCTTCATTCCATTATATAACATCATTTCATCTAAAACAGAATTGAACCAGACATCAGGAGATCAAACTTTTCATCCTCGATGTGTCTTCCCAACACTAGTAAATACATATGCACACAATTATTTATTACAGCACGATCCTCAGCCTGGCCTGCAGGATCGGGCCAAAACCGGCTCTCTGACATCCCCCGAGGGGTCCCGGATTGTGAGAGGGTGCAGGCCAGGCCGAGGGACCACACCGTGCACAATCGGGGCAGGGGAGGGGCGCAGGAGGTTGGCCAGCCAGGGAGGGATTGCAAGAGGACTCCAGGGTATGTCAGGCCCATCTTGCTCAGTTCTGATCAGCCAGACCCCAGCAGCAAGTTAACCTACCAGTTGGAGTGTCTGCCCCCTGGTGGTCAGTGCACGTCATAGTGAGCAGTTGATTGGTTGAACAGACGACCGGACAACTGGACACTTAGCTTTTATTATATAGGATTGTTTGCAATTATAAAATACCCATTAGTAGGAGAGGTGACCAAATAAACCATGGTGCATCCACATGATGAAATACTATGTAGCTGTAAAACAAAGAATAAGGAAAACCTCCAAGAATTGATATGGAAATAGTTACAGGATATATAATTAATTGCAAAGGTAAAGTGCAAAAGAGTATTGACAATTTGTAATATTTCATGCAAGAAATGAGTGTAAGAAATTATGCATTATCTGCTCACTTGTTCAAAAAGATATATCAGAAGTAAACTCCAAAAACTAATGAGATTGGTAGCATATATAATATAGGTAAGAACTGGTGTCAAGAATGGAAATGGGAATGGGGTAAAATGAGGAAGGTACATTTCTCTGAGAAAATATTCTTACATAGTTCTCTTTAATCATGGCAATATTTCAGCACTGCCTGACTGCCTGACTGAATGAATGAATGAAATCAAGCTATGATGTGGGAGGAACCCAAAATGGAATATAACTATAACTACACCTCAGGAGGATGGGGAATAAGATGATTAATATAAGTTATTATGTAAAACAGCATTTTAATTATACACTCTAAAACTCAAGAGAAAAAACTAACTATGCACAAATAATGTACTCTAGAGCATGAGTATCAATTCTAACGCTACTTATTGTGTATGCTGAGGATGAGCAAGTGTATTATAAATGTCTTGCAGATGAGTGTCAGGTTTCTCACTGTTGGAGAAAGAAGTTACAATATACAACAGCGGTCCCGGCCAGCATGGCTCAGTGATTGAGTGTTGATCTTTGAATTAGGGTGGTCATGGTTCAGTTCCTGGTCGGGGCACATTCCCAGGTTGTGGGCTCAATCCCCTGTGTGGGACATGCAGGAGGCAGCCAATCACTGATTTTCTCTCATCATTGATGTTTCTATCTCTCTCCTTCCCCCTTCCTCTTGAAAAAGCAATAAAAATATATTTAAAAAACAATATACAATAGGGGAAAGCTGGGATGAACTTTGTGGTATTCACTGGTATCAGTATGAACTAATGGTTTTTAATAGAGATATAGGTAACAATTAAAATGGACAGAGGTGCGTGTGTGTGTGTGTGTGTGTTTACTTGTGCGTGTGTGTGTGTAGTATATTGTATTTTCCTAGATCTGTCTCCTGGGAGGCCCTCAGAGCAGTTATAAAGGTGTAATCAACACACCTTTGGCCCAGATCTTGGTTTCTAAATACAGTTTTCCCAATAAAAGTAAAGAGGGCTCCTGGAGAAATGGTTGGTTGCAGATGTAGGGCAGCAAAAGTACAAGATGAGCCTGGAACATTTTGCAAAGCCAGAGAGTAGGGAAGTACTCAAAAATTGATGGCAGAATGTCAAAATGATATAGGAGCCAAATTAAAGGAGCTCCTAATGACTAGAGCTGGAACAATTTTGGCAACAAAATAAATAATGGCAGCAATAGATTATAAATCATAGAATAATATAAATATCTATGTCTTCTTACTAGTAAATCAATAATTGAATAAATAAATGGGCAAGAAGGCACAGCTTTTGCTTATGTTAGAATTGCAATGAGTAAATGTAGAAGGGTAAATAGAAATAGAAAACTGCCTTTTAACAAACAATGCAGTAACAGTTGTAGCAAAAATCTCCAATTGATGCTAAATTTGTAGGTGCAAAATTACGATGAGTACAGGTATTTGCATCATTTCAAAGTACTTTTCCACTAAATATGTATGAGTTACTAAGAAGAAAATAATAACTTACAGTGGAGAAACTTGGAAGACACCACCTTTAGCAAGTACTTAAAGACAAAATCAGCAGCAATGAGACAGACAGATACCATGGACCTGCTGATGTGATGTACTGAGAAAGGCACATTACGTCTGTGGGATTCCGTCATAATTCATAAAGCCATTGTAATCATGAGAAGACATCAGGCAACTCTGGCAAGATATGATGCCAGTTGTCTGAGCTGAGTAGCAGCTACAGTTTGCTCAATCTTGTTCCACAGTTTTAAGTTTGGATGGCACTGTGAATGCACTTCTCCCTTTCTTAAAGGAGCAAATTATTCTCTAGAGATAAAAATAGGAATTGTGTCAAGGTAGAATGAGAGAGCCATGTTCTTAAGAAAAATATTACTTTATGGAAATGAAGAATATCCCAAAGTGTTTAAAATGCAATCTCTGATCCAACTTCACTATTTTACTTACTTGCCTGGAATTCATGAAATTTTTATTGGGTTGATATGAGAAGATAAATTAAACACAGGAAACAACCTGAATTAAGTTTGAGATTGATTAAAATTCATTTTAGACACACCTTTGAAAAACAAATGTGTTAAGCATATGCTTATGTAGTTGGAACACTTTAGATCTGTGAATATATACATATAGGATAACTAGATGTAGATTTATAGTTTGAAGTGATAAAATCAGTCAGGAAGTACTACAATGATGTAGGAGTAATAGTTTTGAGGGTCTGAACCAGAATTATGGATGTGGAAAAGGTGGTTCAGGAGAATGACCAGTAGCACCTGATATTAATTGATGAGGAGGTTAAAAACAGCAACTATAGAGCCCTGGCCAAGTGGCTCAGCTGGTTGGAGCATCGTCCTGTACACCAAAAATGTTTCAAGTTCGATTCCTGCTCAGGGCACATACCTAGGTTGCAAGTTTAATCCCTAGTCTGGGTATGTAGGGGAAGCAGCTGATCAGTGTTTCTCTCTCACTTAGATGTTTCTCTCTCACTCTCTCTCTCTCTCTAAAATCAATAAAAAAGTATATCCTCTGGTGAAGATTAAGAAGCTATTGAGATTTTTAAGGCTGATGGTACCTGGAAGCCAAGTGGATTTTGGAAAAAGGTGAATATAAGAAGAAATATTGTATTACTATTATAATTAGCATAAATTATACATTTTTATCACTCCTTACATTGATGCCTTCACCTACTGCCCAGCAAAACCAAAATCCTATGACCCCTGTGTTCCGTATTACCCCTGCACAGAATAGTGAAAGAGAAAAACTCACTTCCATCCTCATGATCATTGCTTGAACTTTGCATAGCCAGAATCTTCCTTCAAAAATAATAGACATTGAGTTTGGCTTAGCAGTCAAAACTGGTCATTGTTCTTCCATTTTTATAACCTGTTTTGCAGAACAATAACCAGATGGCTTCTTGGGATGGTTCTGCCTTTTCCTGTTTTATCATTTCAGCTTTAAGAAGCCTAGTGGAGTAGAAAGCACATGATTTGGGGAGTCTGACACACATAGTTTCAAAGCCAAGCTCAGTATTATATTAGCTGTG